AAAAAAAGACTGGATGAAATAACACCGAAGCAGTTGACAGACTAAACATGGGCGCTAATGGTCAAACGGTAAATAATTGACATAATCTGAGTGCCGATATGTTTCTCCTGTCTGTTAACTCCAGGCGCCGGTGTTGTCATAACCGCCTGCTAAAATATTGATGAGCTTTCATTGGCCCTGAAAGCATCGCGGGGAAGCTGCGGTTTACGGCGGGACGACATCGACGGCCGACCGAGTGGGTTGAAAAGTGTTGGGGGGGGCGGGGTTAGAAGGCCCTTTCACAACGTAGGTGAAAGTTGCTGTTCCCTGACAAAGTATGAAAAGTAAGTTGAGTTGATCTCTATGACTTCAACACACTCGCTTGACCTCAATTAATTGACGTCTTGTTTTTAGACGGGCCTTTGGCACCACCTTGTGGCACATGAGGGCATTTCAGAACGAGCGCCAACATTTGAGTGGGTGAGTGAGAAATGAATTGAAATAATCAGTTCAAGCCTCACCCCCCCCCAAAAAAAATCTAAATTAAAAAAATGTGGAGTATTTTCTGTTGAGAAAAATCGCACTCTAATATTATATTTTATGAAACACAGTCATGACAAATACAAAAAGAATATTTTTTGGGGTTACTTTTTGTTTCATTATAATGTACATTGTGCTGCGAGTTTCTCAGAGGATATCAGAGGCGTAATAAAACCAGAATAAAAACCTCTTAAGAATTCCCATTAATTACTGGCTATTCACGATTTTGTATTTGTGAACTCCCTACGTCGATAAATCCAAACCGGAAGAGGTAAATCGCAACTACAATATTCCAGAGGGAAAAAAAACGATCTTTTTAAAAATTGTTCCAATCTACTTCATCTTATTTTAGTTTATTACTATTTATGAAGTTGCAATATGAGTTTGAAATGATACGCATCACTTTTTTTTTTTTGTTTGTTTAATGGCTTTAGGGCAGTTGACGTGGGTCCCGGGGTCCTTACCTGCTCTTGTCCCATGGAGGGTAAACCGGGCGACGACATGGACGTCACGCCCATCTGAGCCATTCCGGGGACGCCGTTGTACATGCTGCTGTTACTCTGCTGCTGCTGCTGGGTGAACTGAGGGGACGCCTGCTGCTGTGAGAACATACTGCAAAGGAGAGGACCAGAAATCACAAATTAGAACTTAAAGCCCCCCCCCCTTTTTTTTTCCCTACCTGCTCCCTGCCACGTTGCCCTGATTCCAGCCGTTGATGTCGGGCGAGCCCTGGAAGGGGGTGCCGCCCGGGCCCTGCTGCATCATGGGGGATTGCTGGGCGTGCGTCACCCGTGGGGACAGCAGAGGGCTGGGTGGGGCTCCGGGACCACCGAAGCCACTCTCCGCCTGCTGGCTCATACCTGTGGCGATAGTGCGGGCGGGGGAAAATGGGTCAAAGGAGACAACGAAAAGATGACATTTAAAAAAAAAAAAAAAAAAAAAAGGAAAGTATCATTCTATGCATTCAAGTGCGCATTCGGGATGTTTACTGGAAGCAAAGGAGGGAAGCGATGAGGTCGGAAAGCAAAATCGGCATCTCATGAGAAAATATTAACATATGATTTATGATGAAAGGAACAATGTCCCAAAAAAGGTTAACTGCATAACTAGAGCTGCTGTTGTTGTTGTTGTTTTTTTTTTTAAACAGGCAAAGTTAAACGTCAATAGATGTTCAGTATGATGATCTTATTTGAAGTAGAGCTGGATTTCTGTGGTTAGGGCGCCCTCGGGTGGACAGAAAGTGTACAACTAGCTAAAGCGATTGTGTGCAGCTGGGGAAAAATGTATAAAAATATATTTTGGGGGTTTCCAAACATGAAACCCCAATATTCAGTCGATGGCATCCCATGGAACGTTTGAAAAAGATTTAGCCGCCAACAAGGGTTGGACATGTCAATCATAATAGGACACATGAAAAGGTGTCGAGGACCGATGCCCGAAACTGATCAGGAAGTCAGTCATTTTTGTTTGTAGGAGACAGTTTGGGGGAGAATCCATCAAGGCGGAGTCTGTAAAAACGAAAATTAGCATCTGACATCAGTTTCAACTGATTGAAAAACTTGGGCAGGTACATCAATTAGAACAGGATGGACGAAAATGTCTCAAGGTAGGCAGGAGGGCAACCATTTTGATTTGAATCAAACCGAGCATTCATTTTCACTTGGATAAAAGAAAAAAAAAAGGATTTGCAGGGTTATAATAGTTTGGGATTTTTCATTGTAGTTATTTTTGCATTTTGCTTTGATTTATTTTAATGAAATTCACTCGCAAAGACGTTTTTAAACGTCTTTTCAGACTTGGTCTCGAATTGTCTGGTTCTGAATGAGTTAAATTAATTCGTTTCAATTGTTTTTTTTTGGAGCAGGTTTGTCAGTTATTTTTTAAACGCTGCCTTTCAGTTGAGTTTTTATCAGTTTTACTTTTTGTTTTCTTTAGTTTTTGTCTAGATCGAGACAAAAACAATTGCCCTACATGCGCTGCTCAAAAAAGGAGCGGGAAGAAGAAAACTTCATTCATCCCACCCCCATCTCACATTTATATTACAAGTCATACATTCATCCTATTTCATTCTCGAAAATGCTTCTTCGATTGGAGTTTGGGTTATTTCTTTAGCCGAAAATGACCTTTGGTGGGTTGATGGGCGTGCACACAAACAGAAATGTACACAAAGGGGATTTGAGGTGAACCGCGTGTTTGTGTGGTGGAGGACGGGTAGCGGGAGCAGTACCTGAGTTGGGAAACTGAAAGGCACTGTGCTGCATTTGGGGGCTGAGAACGGCCCTGTACTGTCCGCCCATCATATTTGTGTTTCCCATCATCATCTGCTGGGAGGAGGAGGAGGAAGAGGAGGAGGAAGAGGAGGAGGAGGAGGAGCAGGTGCCATGCAAGTGCAGCTGGGGGTTGGCGGGGAGGGACGGCAGGCTGGGGGAGGAGAGAGGCGAGGAGGAGGAGAAGGGGCTGCTAGGGGGAGGTGACGAGGCCAGGCCTGTACCGGTACCGTAGCTGGGCGGGTAGGGGAACTGCTGGGGGTTGGCCTGGGGGATCCGCGGGCTACTCATGTTGGGCGGCAGGTTGAGGCCCTGCGCCCTCATGGCCATGCTCCGCTGCTGCTGCTGCTGAACCTGCTGCTGCTGTTGCTGCCTTTGTCGCAGGTGGTTGCTCAACAGCTCGCGCTGACGCTGGGCCAGCATCTGGGCGTTGATGGTCCCCTGCGGGGAAGACCAGAACAGGTGGGCCCATGTTCTCTTGCAGGGGGCGGCGGGTGGGTGATGTGCATTGATGGTTTACCTGGTTAGGAGCATTGGATCTGAGAGGTAGGTTGACATTTGACACGCTACTCATCTGAGTCATCATTGGCTGTCGGTTCTGATTGGAAGGGAGGGAAGAGAAAGAAAAAACAATTACGGCCAAAAGGAACATTTTTTTTCATATGTGACAATATTTGAAAAAAATATATATATAATAATAATATACCACGGCATGTCACACTTTTGGGCTTTTATATTTGAACCACTATGTTAAAATGCCGTTTTTTGTGATTAACATTTTAAAACTTTTTTTTCCTATTATTGACATAGTTTACAAGCAAAAATGTAGAAAATGCAATTATAATTGGATAAAAATTTGTTTCCAGAGACTTACTCAACAGTGAGATTATTACAGTTAAGAGGAACTAAAAAAAAAACAAAAAAACAAAAAAAACCCCAAAACATTTTCGCTAACAAAATAGAATAAAAATGAGAGTGCGTTAAAATTTTTTTTTAAAAAAAGTCCTTAACAACATGGACACATCATTCAATAATTCGACGAACCTGCTGTGACTGTAGCCGATGTTGCAGCTGTAGCCGCAGCGTGTTGGGCTGGTTGGCCACCACCCCGCTGGGCCTGAGTCCCGCCCGGGCCTGCATCCTCATCATTGGGTAACCGGGACGCGGCGGCATCTGGGCGGCCATGGGGTGGAAGCCCGGCTCCTGCATGGGGGCGCCAGGGTAACCCCTCTGCGTCAGATGCGACGGGGGCGGGCCAAACTGCTGCGGGGCGTACATGGGGGGCTTTTGTTCCAGCATCATTGAGGAGGGGTCCTGTGGAAACTGGTCCTGGTCTAGCGTCTGGTTCTGAAAGTATTGTGGGAAAAGGTATGAATAATGATTTTTTTTTTTTTTTTTTTTGCGCTTTCACTGTAGCGTTGATTTTGCATGGCAGGATCTTGCTGGTATCGTTTTCATTGTACAATGATGACAGGAGCCTTGGAGCTTACTTGTTCTACCAGCGCAGGGATGCCGAGTGCCCGGTCCAGCTCCTCGAGCCCGTCGAAATCCTTCAGTGCCGTGTAGAGCTGAGACATGAGGGCCCCCTCGTCCAACGGTCCCCCTTGGCCGCCGCCGAGGCCAATGCTGCACAAGTCCTCCTGAGGAGTCGGGTGCAGCGACCTGGCCAGAGGAGACATCTTGATGGTAAAACAATGCCGAGGGGGTATGCGAAGAGTTAAATGTGTGATCATCATCCGATCCGAGATGGGAACGAGACTGTGGAATTTGCCGTGATTTATTTGGATACCTGTTCTGGTTGACGAAAGCCGTCTGCTCGATGGGCATCATGCTGTCCGGCCAAGGCGCCGTCTGATTGGGCGGAGCCTGCTGCTGGGAGAAGTGGCTGACCATACTGATGTCCATGTCAGGTTGGGCTAAAGGGAGACCAAACAATAAGCGAATAAATAAATACATTTCATACAAAGATAGACTATGATGAATGCGGGTCGGTTTACGTCGCTGCCAATAAGAACGGAATCCACAGGGGCCGCTTTTAAGCTAGAACTGGGTTGGCAAACTTTTCCTGTTCCAAGGGTCACATTTGGTGATAAAACAGACAAGGGACAGGTAATTTGTCTACGAGGCTTAAAAAAAAAGTGGTTTGAAAATAATATATTTGACTGAAGAAATTCATTGGAAAAATACTTTTTAAACAGATGTCAAATGCACACATAAAAGTGTTCATTTACTTTTATGACGGTGAATGTTGGCCGAGTCGCAGTTTGCGATTCACAAATCCACTGAGATCTGAGACTTGTTTTTTTTTTTTTTTTGTGGAACCGATCGTCACACCCTATGACGCCACAAGATGGTGCCAAAGCACCGGCTAATACAAAATAAGTCATTCATAAGTATGTTGAGCGGGGTTAGCATGATGATGGGACAATTTTTAAATGTTTTAAAATCTTTGGGTGAATTTGTATTGTTTGAACTTTTGTACGATTTTTTTTTTTTTTTTAAGTGGGTGCCAATGACTGGCAGTTTTTCGCTAATCACAGTGCGGCTCAGCCCCCAAATTCCGCAGATAACGGATCCCTGTACGTACATTAAAATTTAATTTTGGAACTAATGAATGAATAAACAAAACTAGAGGGGCCCATTGGCAACTCAAAGCAACATCGTGATGGGTCACACGACGCATTTTCCTCACCGTTGGGCATCATGGAGGTCTGGAGCATTTGCCGAGGCCCCGGCGGCCCTCCCGGCCTCAAGGGAGCGCCGCCGGGGCCCATCCGGCCCTGGGCCAGCTGCGGGGTCGAGGCTGAGCCCACCCAGCCCTCCTGCTGCTGCTGCTGCTGCATACCCGGCCGAGGAGCGCCTGGACCCATGAGGCCTGGATGAAGAGGAGGGTGACAGTGGGTGGAGGTCCTTGGTTGTAAAGCGCAAAGCGGGGACGAAGCCAAGTAATGTTGGGATAACGATAACGCACCTGGGACAACCATGTTGGTCTGGCTCGCCATCATGCCATGTCCTCCCACCATGCTTTGCTGCTGCTGTTGTTGTTGTTGAACTAGCGTGTACGGGCTGGGTGTCCTCATGGGGTACTGCGGCGACGCGCTCATCTCCAACGACACACTCCTCGCCGGCCCGGCCCTGCCCTGCGGGCCCGGCCGCACGCCCCCGAAATCTGTAACGCAAGGTGAATTGAGTGACCACGTAGAACAACAAAAAATAAGTCCAAAGGTCGTCTAAGTAAATCCAAGACATACTTTGATCAAGAAACTTTGCCAGTTCGAATGGTAAAAATCAACGTCAAATCTCATTAACAAGCTCACGGAAAATTGGTATTGTATTCGGGGAGCAATAATCTTCCCGTTAATGAAGATTCACACACAAATACCGGAACCAATTTATTTGGTGGTTAAATTAAATCGAATTTACAAGCGCACTTGACTGGATTAAAAACAAAAACAGTTTTCGCCTCAGCAAAATGCAGTCTGAAAAGTGAATTTTTTTCAGATACCACTAGAGGGAGTAAGCATACAATTCGTGCTGGCATTTAGTCACTATACACTGTTGGCAAAGATTGACATTCAAAAAGCGTTACTGTAATCGAGGTAGATTTTTCAGGTGTGTGACTTTTATTTTCGAATACGAATTCTTTTGCCACCGATGCTGGCACAGTTTTTGCCGGGGAATCGCCGCGCTTTGGTACTCACTGGTGGGCCCCATGCCAGCGGTCACATTCTTGTGCTGCAGATGCTGCGCCGCCGCGGCCGGGCTGTTGTCGGACATCTGCAGGATGTCGTTGATGATGTTCTGCTTGTCCATGGGGCTGGGCAGCGAGACGGGCCGCGGCTCGCAGAACAGCTGCGGCTGGGCATTCTGCAGGTCGTTCAAGATGTCATCCAGCTCTGACGACTGCATGCAAAGAGGGGGGGGGGGGGGTTGAAGATGGATGACACTTGAGAAATTTGAAGACAAGGGGAGCAGGTCTGAGATAAATAAGCTGCAATGGCTACAAGTGGCCACCAGAGTGCAGCAAATGAAGACTCGATGTGCGGCGTGCTCCTCAACAGCGTTTTCACAAGACGGTGATAGGCAAATACCTTAAACAAGTAATTAGTTACAGTTACAAATTAAAAATAGAAAAAAGTCATTAAACTGGTACATGAATTACTCGCAGAAAAATGTAATTAGCTACCAAGGTAGGTACTTCTGATACTTTTTTGACATGAATTCTGTTTTTTGAGCATTTTTTTTTTTTTTTTTACAGATCATTTGGCCAGAGTAGACCAGCGTGGATGAATATTTTATTCAACTCAATATTTATTGAACCTCAAACCACGACTAGCATTTTCCTTCAGTCATTCCTTCAAAAAATAAAATGCACAACTTCCAGACAGCTGGTATATACGTTTCCCAGAGCCTGTTACATTAATTTGATGATAAACCATCGCTATTTTCCCAACGCCGTTATTTCCGACACTGCTAATTAATTGGGGAAGAACGAAATCAGAAGGATGTAGGATAAAAAAAAAAAAAAAACACACCCAAACATTTAACCCGCTTGACCATAAATCGGGCACGGTGAGTGACGTGTGCGCCAGCGAGTGGAGTTGCCTGCTTGTTCACCTCGGTGAGCGAGTCGGTCAATAACTGCACAACAAGCATGGCCCCCTGAGAGCTTTCTTTACATTTCGCAACAGCGTCACGATCCAAATAATTCAGATCATTTTGGCCATGATATACGTGATCGACATTCTCCTGCGCTTTCCTCTGGTGGCAACTGTACGGGCTATACGGGAGTGCTACAGTCAGTGTGGATATGGGTTGGGGGGGGGGAGGGGTATGACAGCTAAAAGCCCTAATGAGGTCAGGAATGATGTAATGCTCCTGTACACTCTCACTTGCATCGCTTCCTCTCTCGTCCCCCCCCACCCCCTCCAATCCTTTCACTTTCTTTTCTCTCGGCCACACTGCTTTGCTTTTACACTTAATGGCTCCTGTTTCTATCAATCGCTCCCCGTTTTCAAGGCAGCGGTGTAACGCGATCTGTATCCTGTGCGGGAGCACCGAGGGTACGCTGCAAAAAAAAAAAAAAAAAAAGAAGCAGAACGGACACAGGAAAACTAGTATCGTGGGGATTTATTGTAACGCTTCAGTTCCTTTATCAGCTGACCAGTACCGCACTAATGTTAGCTGGTGTAAGCAGAGGATTTTCAAAAAACAAAAACAAAACAAAACATACATGTTGCTGCATCATCTGTTCTCAATTTGTTGCTTAAAGGTAAAAAAAAAAAAAACTGCACCATCGATGCTAAATCGCGTCAGTATTAAACTGAAAGCCAATTCTCTTTGTTTGATGTTTATTTTGACAATTGGAACAATGGAGTGGCATTAAACAGAATGATATAATTTATTTTCGATGAAACAGTATTCAAATGTCAAGTTGCGATCAGCATCTTAAGATTTTCAAGAGGGAAAAAAAAATGCTTTCACGAAAATTATCTTTACGTTAAAACGACCGGTAGGAAGAAATATCCTGACAAAAGAACAAGCATATTTTGTCTTGATTTGAGACGCCGATCGCTGGTTGGATTTGAGTTCTGTTTAGTTGGAAGGAAGTTGTTATGTCAAAGGGGGAATTTTGGGCAGTGAGACTACGCCACGGGGCAGGGTGGGGGGGGGGGGTCAAAAAAGGAAGTGCTTTCTCTCATGCCGGTCAAAGTTGATGACAGTGGAAAATTAACACACACACGCACACATAATATTCCCCGCTGCCTTTCGCCACAAGTCAACTCTGCTCTGATTTCACATGTAGTCCCCACATCAATAATTCAGCTCTCAAACAATCATGAGCATTACAGGAGGGAGGGGGGCGGGAAGGGCGGGGGGGATGTGTGTGGGAGGGTGACACTAGTGGGGGAGAGAGCAGTGGGTGAGGTTAGACTCCCTCCCCGGCCCCAAACCAGAGTAGTCATCGTTCACACATGGCTGAGCAGCCATTCACCAGCAGCCCACTCGCCAGATAATGAAGTCGTCGCAGCGTCCCCCCCCGACTAAAAGACAACACACGCGCGCGGTGCGAGAAAGGGGAATGAGCCCCGATCATATTACACGTACTGTGCACTTGAAATCACATACACTGCCTTTTTAATGCAAATTGTGCTTTAACGAAAGCAGCATAACAGTAAAAAAAAAAAAAAAAAAAAAAACGATCACAAATTCTCCCACATTGGTGCCTTGACTTTTTCAAGACACGAGCTGTTGCTGTCCATTTTTTTGTTTTAATTTACAAGCAAAAAAAAAAAAAAAAAAAAAAAACACGACCACCTGACGGCATCAGCAAATTTAGTAAAATCCAGCCGCCATCATTTCACAACGGTTTCATGACAGTGGAAGGACAATATCAGTTGGGGGGCGGTGACGCACCATTAGGCTGATTTGCCGACCGCCAGCAAACCCCACGGAAGAAGAATAAGGACGCTCGCTGGTCATATGGAGAGAAAATGTGTTCCAAAACTGGATTTTTATGTCGCGAGACAAGCATTTTAAAATAATGACTTGATTAATCTGAGCATAATCAGTCGAATCAATTCAAACGTGGCCCAGCACTCCATCTATGGATGCTTTACGGGTTTCGCGGTAGGCTTGAGGTCAGGGGACAGCGGCGGCCACTCAGTGACTTTTTCCTCCCCTTATATCAATGCGGCATAAAACAAAGCGTTGCTGCCGGCGCTATTTTTAAGTGGTTGCCTCCTCGCCACGATCACCATGGCAGCGGCACGGACACGCAGCAGCATATGGCTCATCGTGTTCACTCCGCCTGCCGGAGCTCTGGGCTCTCCTGGGGGGGCTATGTGCGACTCCCCGCGTCTCTCTCCTCTTTGGTCCCCATCATCCAAAAATGCTGAATTATAGTTGGCCTTGATTTAAGATATTTAATCCCAGTTCTTCAATTTTTACAGTGCGAAGGTGGACTTGGTGGTATGTTACGGGTCACCGTCCTGCTACATCACCAGGCAGCTCTTGAGCTTGAGGGCACAAACCAATGGCATCATTTCGAAACTGCATTTTCTTTCTACTTGGGCTCAATCAATGCGGCGCATGATCTGACCTGATTTCGAGACCATCCTCCACACGTTACCCTCCAACGAAAACGCTCAACCGAGCACGGTTGTTTCAAGTCCGGCCTGACTGAAATTCGGTGGATGTGCGTAACGTGTAACGCGTGTTTTTAAAACGGACAGGTGGGGCAGGTCTTTAGTAGATGAGGCCAAATGTGTGTCTGGTTATCATCAAACGAATCACGCTCACTTTTCTTTTTTAAATTAATGATCAGATGTAATACATCATATATAATAATTGGATTATAAAAATACATTAAATCCACCTGTAAACTTGTTTTACATAACAATAAAATTCTTTTAAAAATGTGTTATTGAAAATAATTATTAACCAATGAATGAAATTAATTTATAAAAATGCTACACCGGTAAATTTGTTTTATTTTGATTTCCATAATTTATATTAGGATTTTTAAAAATTGTACGTGCCCCCCCCCCCCGCTGCTGGCCACAATTTGCCCACGCCCGATGCAGGACATGGCAATTGAAATTTCACCAGCAACACTCTGCCTCTTCATTCCAGAATCTCCTCCTCCCTTACTTTCCGTCTTTCTTTCAGTGCCAGCCATGACCCGAGCTGGCTGCCAAACCCGCAGATTCCCGCGCCAGACGCGAGCGGGGATCAAATGGCCGGAGCGCCGCGGGGGGCTGCTTCCAAATGTCACAGTCGTTTGAAGCGCGTGGGACGCAGCTTCCTTTTGCGCATGCCGCCAAACCAAAGTCTTTAAAGATATCTTGCTTTTTGGTTGAGACACCTGTAGTTGGAAAAAAAAATAAATAAAATAAAATAAAATAAAAAAAGAAAACGAGTGGAACTGCCAGAATTCGACAAAGCGAGTTTTTTTGTGGAGTCGCCATGCGAATGATTGGAGCGCTTCCATCACACAACGGGCAGTCGGTGATCTGATTGCATGCGCTGCATATGCGCACACAATGTAAAAAAGGGAATCGGCGGGCTGCGGAAAAGGCAGTTTTGAATATTGGAACTCAACGCGACAGGACAACTAATTAGCAGCAGCCGCTAGCCCGAGTGACAATGTATTTGAATGACCTTGAGTCAAGGCATCCTGCATGGAGCAGGCTCATAAAAGTTTTGGATTTGTCACGATAGTTCATTTTTATTTTGACTTTTGTTTTTTAAATTCAGTTTGTTTTAATGAATTTTTACGCAAGCTTGTTATTTTTTAGAAAATACTTTGAGTTTAGTTTTGATTAAAGTTGTACTTTTTTGTACATATGCAGTATTTGTTGAGTGCAAGATAAAAAAAAAAAAAATATATATATATATATACTGGTCTCAAAATCACGGCATGGCTTTGGTCCTGAATACACGAATTCAAGAAATGTTAATGGACCCAGTCGGGTTCTGAAATCAGCAGACTGAGGTCAATTAGTCCAGCGGGCCCCAACCTTTTTTGCCCCACCGACCGGTTTCATGTCAGATAATATTTTCTGGGACCGGCCTTTGAAACCTGCATGAAAACTGTGGTATTTTCGAAACATAAGAAAGACGAACCATGACACGAGGAACGTCCTATCTGGCCGCAAAACTCTCTGGTTGCTATGGGAACATTTAAACGTGCCTTCAAAATAAGATACAGCACAAATACAAAGTGCATGAAAAATATGACTCACCATCGCCGCATATCATGCAGAGTGGGCTTGGTGGGTGGCAATCTCCCGTTGAGATAAATCTGTATTTTAAGAACTCCTGATACTGTCTATTAAATGGAGCCTACTTTTGCTTGAAAGTCTTCTGGCTGAGGATTTTTCCCCTCCCAAATATTGTAATAAAGTAAACTACAACTTTTTCTTTTGTACATGCGAACAGCAATTCCAAAATAAATACTTTGGAAAGTAATTCACAGATACAAAGCAAAGGACATTTTTGCTCTAAATTCAGATACCGGTGTAGTTTATTTAGTTTTATGATTGATATGATTATTTTTTTAAGAGCAGTCTTGTTTTTATTTTATTTCATTGTTATTTCAATTTTAGTTTGTTATTTTTGTAGTTTTTTTTTTCAGTATAACTTTAACTTGGAACTACACAACCTAAAGCCAAGATGTTAAAATTGGTAGATGCGTAGCCCGAGCAGATAAAAAAAAACAAAAAAAACAAAATAAAACAAAACTGACCTGTTCAGCTTGATCGTAGCCGACATCTGGTTTCTCCGTTTTGACAAGCGGGTGTTTGCCCCCTTCCGCCTTCACCTCCCCAGGTTCCAGTTTGGGCGCCTTGTCCTTCAATCCGCCATCGTCCTTGTCCAGTAGGTAGCGCAGAAGAGTGTTGTCCTTCTTCTTGGGGCTGAGGGGCTCCTGCTTGGGGCCGCCATCTGCGCCGGCAGCACCCTGGCCTTGCTCCTGGCCCAGCTCCTTCCCGGTGGCCTCGGCAGTGAGCTTGGCCAGGTCCACGGGAGACGTGCTGTTCTGGAGCAGCTGGTGGAGGATCTTGTGTTTCTCCTTGAGGGATGTGGCGTGCGTCGTAACTCCGGGGAGCCCGCCGCGGATGCCGGCCCCTTCTTTCGCCTCGGACCCCCCGTTGGGGGACAGGGGCGTCTCCAGAGGTTCCGGTTTGTTGGTGAGCAGCTGCAGCAGTTTGGTGTGGCCCTTGTCGTGAAGGCGAGAGTGAGCGTCGTCCTCGCGCTCGTCTTTTGGATCCACCGGGTTAGTTTCCGTCGGGCCCGCCGCGTGCCCGCTCTGACCCGCTTCAAAAGAGTCCGCGGAACCCGGTCCCGGTCTCGACATGGGATGAGCCCCCGATCCCGGCGGGGCGCTCGCCGGGGAGCCTAACCTCCGATCAGGAGACCCCAGCGTGTGCCCGTGACAGACTCCGTGACACTCGCTTAGGGCCTGAAGGGCCGACAAAGAGCTGCTGGTGTAGCCGCTGCCATGGCTGCCCGCTGCGCCGCCACCCATCCCCACCGGGGAGGGAGAATGGAGGCCGACACGCTGAGGTCCTGCGCCTGGCAAGCTGCCCGGGGTTGGGGGAGTCATGGATGGGGTGGAGGAGTTCATGGGCTTGGGAGCCATGCCCGTAGCCTGGGTGCCAGGACCCATGTCCTGGCCCATGCCGCACACCGTCTGCTCCCTGGAGGCCAAACAGCAACACGCAGCAGCGGTGTTTACCTCAAAGCAGTCGGCAGACTCCATTTTCATCAGCGTTACATACGTGTTCATATTTTTCAGCATTGCAGTGACAATCTGCCACACGGAAGGTATTAGCTACAACGGGTAGTAAGATTTCGGACATACCTCTGGAGAATATGCACCGACATGTAAAGCTGTGGTTCGTTGGTAACGTGAGAGCGCACCAGTTTGCTCTTGGTGTGGGCCGACACGATGGTTCCGTCCGAGAGGGAGAAGCGGTAGATGGGGCTGAACGCCTGGCCGTGGCGAAGCACTGACAAAAAGAAACGAGGGTTTACCAAACGGGCACGTGGGTCGCACCGCAAACAAATACGTCCACGCCCGACGTGACTTACCTTCTTGTTGATGTCGTTTGGCGAAGGACATCTCGCCATCGTTTTGCAGGTGAAAGCGTTGGATGCAACGACGCACCAGGTCCTCCCAGCCCGGCTTCATGGAGGCCCGCAGCAGGCTGGTATCCAGGGAGGTTATCTTGCCTTGAAAACGGCAAACGATAAAAAATATCAACTCATTGGAAGGCTTCTTTGTGACCGTAGTCAAGTTAAAGCCGGGGGGGGGTTCTTAAAACTTTTTGGATGCACGCACCTGAGGCCCAAGGAGTACGTTAACTCCCATAAGGCAGACAACCAATCAAATTCAAAAGGCCATGTCTTAAAGCAGGGGTGTCAAACTCATTTTAGTCGCCGGCCAATTTGGAGTTACGTCTTGCCTCGGAGGGCCGTGATGACAGTGACCACAAAGTGACCACAAAATTGTTTCTTGTACGCAACAAATTAATAGATTACTCGTTTTGAAATCAGTCAATCATAATAGTTTGTTCAACTATTGTTCAAGTGAGTGTGTACTGGGTCGCAAAATGATTGCAAAATCGCAACGTTATTTATTACACGTGACAATCTGACATTTGGATCCAGATTTTAGCAAGTTTACACACATGATTTGCTTTCACGGACCACATAAAATGACCTGCCGGGCCAGATCTGGCCCCCGGGCCTTGAGTTTGACACCTGTGCCGGAGAGCCAAACGGGCATATGCACATTTATTGTTGTCGGCTGAGCAATATGGAGACATACTGTACAGCTAAGTGCTGATTTTCGATCGCTATATGTAAATTATTTTAATATTTTAAGGATTATAGAGATTCAAATGAATCAAGCTGACAACTCTGTTTGAGAAAGGTTCATGACTAGTTTGTATGCGTGCGACACACATGTCTGTGTGGGGGGGATGTT